CATGCATTCACTTAATTATATTTCAAAATAATATTTTTCTTTTAAAAACTATGGACCTGGCACATATATATATATATATATATATATATATATATATATATATATATATATATATATATATATATATATATATATATATATATATATATATATATATATATATATATATATATATATATATATATATATATACTACTGTGATCAAAAAGTAAGGTGAATTTTTAATTTGAACTTCCCGTCTTATTCGAATCGTCCAATCTTTTTTATTTTTAAGTTGGTAGGAATGTCATTAACATTTGCGCCAAATTACATGTTAAACTCATAATTATTTTTTTTTTGTTTACGCTTGTTTCTGAAGTACTAAAAGTGCATTCGGCGATTTTCTTGATGTCTAATTTTGTTGAGCAAAGAAGTGCTATTAAATTTTGTTTGCGGAATGATATTTCTGCTGCTGAAACGTATCAAATGTTGCAAAAGGCCTTCGGTGAAGAGACTATGTCTCAAAAAAATGTTTACAAGTGGTACAAAGACTTTAAAGAAGGCCGAGAACGTGTTGATGACTTGGAACGCTCCGGACGATCATCGACTTCGATTGATGATTGCCACATCAACAAAATCAAAGAATTGGTGCTTGCAAATCGTCGGTTAACCATTCGAGACCTTGTTGACATGGTTGGAATATCATTTGGGTCAGTGCAAGCGATTTTGAAAGATTATTTGGGCCTCAGAAGACTCAAATCACGTTTGGTGCCGAAATTTCTCAATTTCTTTGAAAAAGAGCGTCGCATTAAAACGTGTGAAGCAATGCTTTCTGACTATCATGACGTCTACAAACCAATTATTACTGGCGATGAGACTTGGGTCTACGCATACAACCCTGAAACAACCGACCAATCGAGTGAATACTGTGAAAAAGGCGAGCCGAGACCGAAGCAACCACGTCAAAGTCGCTCAAAAATCAAGGTCATGTTGACTGTTTTCTTTGATTATTGTGGTGTCGTGCACTACGAATTCCTTCCAACTGGCCAAACTGTCAACAAGGAATATTATTTAAGCGTTATGCGACGTTTGCGTGAAGCTATTCGCAAAAAGAGACCGGAATTATGGGCCAATAACTCTTGGATTTTGCACCACGATAATGCGCCTTCGCACACAGCACTGGTTCTTCGTGAGTTTTTCGCCAAAAACTCTACCCATGTTGCTCCACAACCACCGTATTCGCCCGACTTAGCACCGTGTGACTTCTGGCTGTTCCCAAAGCTCAAGAGACCACTCTGGGGAAATCGTTTTGAGTCCATTGAAGAGATCCAACATGAATTGGCACGCACATTGAAGGCTATCCCTACCGAGGACTTTTTGGCATGCTTCGAAGACTGGAAAAAACGTTGGCAAAAGTGCATTGGGGCCGGGGGGGATTATTTTGAGGGGGACGAAACAGATTTGGAAGAATAAATAAAGATTTTTCATTTTATAAAAAAATTCACCTTACTTTTTGATCACAGTAGTATATATATATATATATATATATATATATATATATATATATATATATATATATATATATATATATATATATATATATATATATATATATATATATATATATATATATATATATATATATATATATATATATATATATATATACTAGGTTGGTTGAAAAGTTCGCGGAGCGGAAATGAAAAAACAATTTTATGATTCAAAAAATGACTTTATTCTTCAGTATATTCTCCCTTAAGAGCAATACACTTTTTCCAACGATTCTCCAATTCATGTATCCCATCTCTGGAGTGCGATTCCGGAAGGCCTTCAAAATACCCATTTACGGCTGCAATGACTTCTTCATGTGATGAGAAACGCTTTCCACGTAGAAATTTTTGGAGATGTGGAAAGAGGTGGAAGTCGGACGGAGCCAGATCTGGTGAATAGGGTGGATGTTCCAAGCGTTCGTACTTTAATTCGACCAATTTCGCCTTTGCAACATCGCTGAAATGAGCAGGTGCGTTGTCCTGGTGATAAATGATTTTTTTATGCAGCAAACCAGGTCTTTTCTCACGAATTTTTTTATCCAACTGGTCCAAAAGATTTTTATAATATTCACCTGTTATCGTTTTACCGGTTTGAAGGTAATCTATTAATAAAATTCGCATCCCAAAAAACTGATGCCATAACCTTCTTTGACGATTTTGACGCCTTCACTTGCTTCGGAGCTGAACAACCGGGTTCTGTCCACTCTGCAGTTTGTTGTCGCAGCTTCGGATCATAGTGGTAAACCCAAGTCTCATCCATGGTTACGAATCGACGCACAAAATCTGTTTTATTCTTTTGAAAACGGGCCAAATGTTCTTGAGAAAGTTTTACTCGAGTGCGTTTCTGATCCAGAGTTAGCGAATGCGGCACCCATCTTGCCAACAGTTTTCTCAGACGTAATTCATCGTGCAAGATGTGTAATACCCGTTCATCTGAGATGCCCACAGCCTCAGCAATTTCACGTTTGGTCAATCGTCTATCATCCATAACCATGTCATGCACAGCATTAATCGTTTCTTCAGTAGTAGCACTTTTTGGACGTCCAGAGCGAGGGTCATCTTCAAGGCTTGAACGCCCACGTTGAAACTCCGCAGCCCATTTGCATACTGTTGTTTTTGAAGGAGCATCATCACCCAACACATTTACCATTTCATTATGAATTTCCATGGGCTTTAAACCTTTTTTCACAAAGAATTTTATTAAAACACGATGTTCAATATTTTCCATTTTAAAAAATACTATGACACGTCTAATTTCAATAGCTTGTAAACAAAGACTGAAATGACATATCGACTTGAAATTTTTTATGCGTTCATACGAAGAATGAATACGTTTAATACAGTTATAAATTTGTTTCTACTACTGCAACATAGGTGCCGCTCCGCGAACTTTTCAACCAACCTAGTATATATATATATATATATATATATATATATATATATATATATATATATATATATATATATATATATATATATATATATATATATACATATATATATATATAGATTTTTTACATAACAGAAGACAGCGAGTTATTCTAGGAGATTATGTATCAAACTGGTTACCAGTTATCAGTGGTGTACCTCAGGGCTCAGTTTTAGGGACACTTTTATTCTTAAACTTTATCAATGACCTACCTGATAATATCCAAAACTATATAAAGTTGTATGCAGATGACAGTAAAATAGTAAAAATAAAATCAGCTGAAGATCCTATAAAGCTGCTAGCAGATCTAAATTATCTTATGGAATGGTCATCAATCTGGTTAACAAAATTCAATTATGCCATGCAATACACATATGTAATGCATGATTCAGATACAAATCAAGATCACATTTTGTTAGTAACTGATTCTGAATGTGATCTTGGTGTCATAATTCAATCAAATCTAAAATGGGATTTGCATATTAATGTAGCAGTTTGTAAAGCTAATTCAGTCCTGGGTTTGATTCGTCAAACTTTCAAAAACTTAGATGTAAATGTGGTTAAAAAATTATATATAACATTTGTGCGTCCACATCTTGAATATGCTGTGCAAGTTTGGTGTCCTTATCTGAAACAAGATATTGATAAAATCGAAAAGATTCAACGAAGAGCAACCAAACTTATACCGTCAATAAATCACGAATAAATCATTTTGTAAAAGCAAGTGTATCATTTTGTAAAAGCATATTCATATTAATGATAATATGAATATGCTAATTTAATATTAGTCGAGTTACGTCATTTTCTAGGCTTTTCTATTTTAAAGTAGTTTCTAGGCTTTTCTATACACGTTTTTTTTTTAAAATTTTATTTACTAACAACGCGTATTACGGGTTGCTTACTGCTAGTATATATAAATATATATTTATTTATATATTTATATATATATATATATACATATATATACACTTACTAAACTGTGTTTTGATAAGCATTTGCTCACTTTTTCTGCTTACCTTAAGCTATACTGTTTTTTTCGAAAAAGAAGAAAAAACAAAGAATGATGAATGAAACAATTGCTTCCTCATCCAAAACCCTCAGTCGATGTAGCAGATCTCCACTGCTAGTAAGGCTATTTGTCAGTCGATATATGTACTGAAGCCCCCAGCAGCAGGCTATTCCAGTATAATGTCAGATTGCTTACCTTAGTACGCAATGCTATTTATATATATATATATATATATATATATATATATATATATATATATATATATATATATATATATAGTTGTTACTGATATATCAAGCTGTATAATATCTTGTTCTATAGCAAGTTATATAATTTATGTTTAGGTTTTCTAAGTTGGATTTTTTGAAAAAAGTTGGAATGCTTCCTTCTTATTTAAAACTAGAAAATGAAATATCCAGGTAAAAAAATTAGCTTTGTTAATGTCATTGTTAATATGCACATTCAATTTAAATAAAATGTTGGTTTTGCACTTTTTTTATTTTTTTATTTTTTTATTATTATTTTTTTTTTTATTTTGATTCACCTCCTCAAGGCCGAGAAGGCCACTACAGACGAGGAGGCTACTTATTTGTGGCTATAACCCTCTCTCAACTCTATAACTCCGAAACACGAAACACATTTGCTTTATTTTATTAAAAATTTAAATAAAATGTTGTTGTTTTTGGGGTTTTTTGTTATAATTTATAATTTAATTAAAATGTTTATTTTTTTCATTTTAATTTAGTTAATGTATTAAAAATTTAGTTAAAACATTTGTTTTTTCATTTTTATTTTAATTATTGTATTTACAATTTAATTGAAAACATTTTATTTTTTGCTTTTGTTTTAATTTGTTTTGATAATTTTAAAATGTTTGCTTTGCTATTCTGTTGTTTAAATTAATTAGTTGAATAAATTTTTGTTTAATTTATCCTTAAGTGACAATAATTTAATCTAACAAAAAGATGGTTTCTCAAGGAATAATATTAAAACTAAAGTTTTTTAATTCCCTAACCAATTAAATATAAATTTTCATACATTCTCCTAAAAAACAAACAATGATAATTAAAATTTCAAATATCAAGAATAAATGCTTCAGATTGGTACTGATATCAAGAATAAATGCTTCAGATTGGTACTGATATCAAGAATAAATGCTTCAGATTGGTACTGATATCAAGAATAAATGCTTCAGATTGGTACTGATATCAAGAATAAATGCTTCAGATTGGTACTGATATCAAGAATAAATGCTTCAGATTGGTACTGATATCAAGAATAAATGCTTCAGATTGGTACTAAGTATTGATATCTCTAAACCTATAAAGAGTTTTACACTAAAATTTAGAGTAAATTTTTTTCCATTTGTTTCAGCTTATTTACCAAAATCATTAAAATCTGAGATAGCATTGTGTCAAAAATTATTATTTTTGGTTGAATTGACATAGAATGGCTCTAGTAGTAAAGAAAGTTCTGGAGTACTTTTTGTGAAAATGTCACAGGAATGTTGTTGGGACCACAAACTGTAAAATAGACTTTATCAATGAAAGCCATTATTTAGATATCTAATTACAGGTTAATCTATTTTTTTTTGAGATTATACACCTATCTTTTTGATTGAATGTGATCTTAAATTAAATCTTTAGATAAGGTAATAAAATCACACCTGATTTTTAAATTCGAGATTTTAAAATAGAATTTAAAACTTAACTTTAGTATTAGAACCAGTAATCTGGTTTAACTATTAGAATATAGACATAAGACAATGTCTTTTTGTCCTTAAAAAGACATTTGTTATCAAGAGAGTTGTTTTTGTGAAAAATTTAAGAGAACCCAATTAGAATTAGTAGCTGTACAAGAAGAAGAAATGTATGGGGTTGAGTCAGGTTTTACTTAAAATGGATAAGCAGATTTAAAAAAGATATAAAATTGATTAAAAAAAAGGCCCAATTTTTAGCAGAATTATTTTCATAACTGTGCTGAAATTGAGTCCCACAGCAGGGTAGTGCTTTAATTCAGATTTTACTTTTCCTAGCCTTTGCCTGTTACAGCAAGATCTACAAGGTAGTGGGGGCACATGAAAGGTTGTGTTAGATTAAATGTTACTACAGTAGGTCTGCAGTAGGGCACATAAAAGTTTGTGTTAGATTAAATGTAATCAGTAGTAGTATGATAATTATGATCTAATCTAGGCCTGATCTGACCTGAAACATCAGCACCTCTATAAAATGCATAAAACTAATACAAATCATCAGTGACCACATGAAACATCTTGTAATTACGTAACAGAATAGAAACTACAAAAGCATATTATATATCAGCATTTTAGAAGCCATTTAAAAAGAAACATCAGCAACTGTATAAAATACCCATGCAAAACATCAAAAATATCAGGATATTCTAGGATAATCACCCAAAATATCAGGATTTATATGAAAAGCTTTAGAAAATGAAAAGAATTATTTAAAATATTAGGAGTTATGTAAAATAAAATTAAACAAACAAAACAAAATATCAGAAGCTACTAGAAATATCATGAATATATATAAAGTATCAAAAACTTGAACTTTATCAAATATTCTTATATAATATTAAACTTTATAAATATTAACTAACAAAACATCAGGAGTAATAAAATATATTAGAAACTATATATCTATTTTTAAAGTAAATGAGATAACTGAGACATTGTTAAAACATTCTAAATGCTTCAATAAATCTTTACCTTCAAAAAATTTTCTTTTGAAGGTAAAGAGGAAAACTTCTTCTATCAGAACATGTAAACAATATTTTTATTTGATGGAATTTTTGTAAGAAAAAGTTTTATCACTTTGAAGTAATCCTATTTTTAAACTTTCTATATTGAATAAAAAAAAAGTTTTGATTGTTTTAAAAATATGGTTTAATGCAGTTTGTTTTAAAATAAGAGAGTTATTTGATAAAAACCTAAAAAATGTAGTATTTTACTTTTTAATTCAGTCAATATTTAATAAATAATAATCATTTAACTGTGTGGCTACTTCATCAACTAATTATTCAATCATTAATAAAATGATAGTATATTCTAAATTTCTTTCTATTAATCTGCAAATATTATTCTTAACTCCTGTCAAATAATATAGTAATTAAAATATTTTCAGTATCAACAAAATGCAAAACAACAACTATAGCAAAGTAGATATAGAAAGTGATTTAAAATTTTGAAAGCAATGAATATTATTAAGAATGTGTGCTTTAAGTTCAATTTACCAAAATCAAGATAGAACGAAAGAAATATAAGTAGAAATGCAATTCAACATGGAGATTTTTTTTAATTTTTAGCAGACAACATAGCATCAAACAGAGTGTCATCTAGTATTTCAGATATATTTGACAGTTATTCTAAATAATACATAAAACATTACTATAAAGCCAAAAGTCATAACTTAAAAACTTTACATATTTGGATGAGCAGATATATTGAACTCTGATGAGTGTAACTTTAATGAATTTACGGGAATATTTAAATTTTATTTTAAAAGGTACAAATTGTACTCTCAAACTTACAGGAAGTAATAAAAAAAGTTAATTATACCATAAACAAATGCATCAACAATCAGGCTTCTACCACCTTTTGTTATTTATAAATCATGGACATTAAACCTACATTTATGTATATATTTGTGTGTGTGTGCACATATTTGTATGTATATATGTGTGGGTGTATATGTATGTATGTATGTATGTATGTATGTATGTATGTATGTATGTATGTATGTATGTATGTATGTATGTATGTATGTATGTATGTATGTATGTATGTATGTATGTATGTATGTATGTATGTATGTATGTATGTATGTATGTATGTAACCCAGGAGTAAGTTCAACAGGGTAAAATATGAGCTAATAAAAAGTTTCAGCTATCCAAAATAAAAAATGGCAAGCTTAATCGACTTCGAAAAAATGCAAAAAAACGCAATTTTTCTTAATTTTCACGTTTTTCTGCAATTTATGAAATCAATTAATAAAAAAGTCAAACCAGTCAAAAGTTTTTTTTTTTTTCAAATAAATTTATTCATTATAAAATGGTCAAGTAAATTAATAATATATATAAATTATATAAATTTTATTTTATACAATGGTATATAAGCAATATACGCATTTAAACATTTAATTTATTTTTAGCTAGTTTTTATAACTCACTAGTGCATATCTATTAATATAAAATACAATCAAGTTTTGAACGGCAAACTTAAAATTACTTATATCACTAAACTGTATATACAAAGTTTACTTATGTAAGTCATTTTTAGTTTTTTAAGGTACAATTAGTTGAAAACTTTATATAATTATATACTAAAGAATTTAAATAATTATAGTTATATATGTCTTGAAAGTGTTTACGAACAACTTAAGTAATTTTGACCTCAAGATTATCCAAGATACAAGTAATTAATAATTACCAAATATGAATAAAGGATTAATAAATTGAACAATTTAATTTTAACTAAATACTTTAAACATAATTGGTACGTGACCCATTTTGTTTAAAATATCTAGCCAATCGCGAATTTAGTTAAGGCTGAAGCATTACACTATTTGGAAAAAACTTCAAAAATTATTTCTATGACCCCTGAAGTGTTTAATTTTTTATTCGAAAACAGTGATTATTACAGTGATCAACTTAATAAACGGGTAATAATAATAGCCATGGATAACCATCACCAAAATCCAAACATGTTTTAAAATAGTTTTTTTTAATTGTTTTTAATACTATAAACTTAAATTCATGAATATAAGTGTTTATCAAGATTTCAATTGCCAAAAGCTTGGGCATATGCAAAATATTTCTAAAATAAATACCTTGCAAATGTGATTCGAACACTTTACCACTATCCTACTACTTCATTGGTCCTAAATCCTAAACACACTTTTATATTTCTCGCATTGAAAAAGTAAGTACATTCATATAAAGATGTTTTATTAACATCAAATGCATAACAAAATTTATTATTAAAAAACCACAAAGTCGTTTTTAGTTTCAAAATATGGTCGAATTTCCCTGGATTTTAGTTTAGTTAAAATATATTTATGACGAGTTTCCCTACCATATACTTGGTGACTAGCCTCTGTAACTAATTTGACAGCGTGTTCTATGCTCTGCGTATGAGAAGGAAATTCAGGTAAGTTCAGAACTTCTTTAGTTGCAATTAGTGCATCAATTTCGTCATCCTTCAACCATATTGTTGATGCCGGTTCACTGCTTTTCTTAAAGTCAATTAATTCTATCCAAGAAGTTGCTTGAAAGTTTATGTCAACATTAGCAGTATTTGTAATACGGCACTCTTTATCTTTATTTGTCCTGAGTTTTTAATGACTAGTAACGCCTGTTCCCTTATGTTAAAATCTTCATCTTTAAGCATACAATATATAAAAGTTTTTAGGCAATAGACAAAATGAGTTTTTTTTTAGATTTTCAAAACAAATGTTTTGTATTTCTTCATCTTGCTTCCTAATCTGTTCTGTCATTTTAAAGAATATACTTGGAGAATCCATAAATTTAGAAGACCTTTTGATAAGAAACCAAGTGTATGTATACACTTGTACAATAAAATTTACAAGCCTTACATGATCAAGACTTGGTGCTTCAGTATGAGTATACAAAACCATGATTCGAAATGCTAAAGTCAATCATCTTGCGTTGTTTAGTGAACCAATTTTTCTTCTAAAAAATATGTTATTGACAAATCCTTTAGAAATTCCAAGACAATATTCAAATAATAGTCTTTGATCATGGCTTAAATCATTAATCACTTCATTGGGAATATTTAGTATCTCTACTGGAGTATCAATTTTGGTAAACTTCACTTGTGGGTTAAGATAGAAATCTATGGAAACTTGCTTTCCAATAGGTCCTGAAAATTTATTTGAACACTTTGAACTGCTATCAACTATTTTGAATACTTTTTGAAATGGAAGTTGATTGTGATGCAAAGTACATCCGATAAGGTGTATTTTTCTTTCTAATTTCTTTTCTAAACATGCAACAATTCCAGTTTTGAAACCTGTATTGACATTTGTATTATCAAGAAGAAGTATTATCATTTGTATTATCATACTCTTTCAGAACAATATATACAATTTCACTTTGAAGCAAACCAGTTGCACCATTTGATGGGAGATTTTTATGAGAGAGATATGAACCATTTTTAAAACTGTTTTCATTGTAAAAGTTAAATGATGTTCTTTTTCAGTAACTTTTGACAAGAGAGTTTCTCCATTTTCAACAACATCCTTAAACTGAAGAACATTTTTATCATCTTTACCATCAATACCCAAACACACCAAGTTACTTGAATTATTATCATGTTGATTACCATATCTTGACATTATTTTCTTCTCTCTATAAAACAATTCAAAGTATTATATTTAGCTAAATATCATATTAAATATTTTGTAAACGAGCATTTATATAAATTAATAAATAGATATATTTATATTTGTCTAACTTATAATAATATAATGAAATAGTATTTGCCTCTCAATTTTGCTTTGATCTACAACTTGATTCAAATCTCCATATTCAATGATTTCATAATCTAGTAGTAGAGCATTTGCAAGTGCAGCTGCAGCACAAGATGAGACATCATACCTAGAAATAAGAAACTATGAAATAAATAAACAAATCTGAAAAAGCAAAGTATATTATCTATATGTGATCCCTTAACATTCTATATTCACCCTCTCTTCTCCCACATTAAAAAAACTTACTGGGGATAAAAAATGGTGAAGCTTGTTGTTTATTTTTTTTCACACTTTTAATATAGTATATATAAAAAATTCTTATCTAAACTCAATATGTATAAAAATTTTATATAACTGACAGCCTCCATTGCAAATCTATCCAGTTTCATTAAATTATATTGAGAACTTTTTAGTGGATTATATTCTTCCTCAGAATCATTTACCTGTAAAAATACTTTGTATTCAAAATATGAAAAAAAAGCCATATATCTCAAGCAGCACACTTTGTAGGACCAACATTTAAAAAATGTTGAAATCGTTGAAACAAAGCTATTTTAGCGTTGCTGGGCAACGGTAGCCCCAACAAGGTATGTTGTTTGTGATATATATATATATATATATATATATATATATAATATATATATATATATATATATATATATATATATATATATATATATAAAGCAATGTGAGTTTTTTTAATTATTATATATATATATATATATATATATATATATATACATATATATATATATATATACATATATATATATATATATATATATATATATATATATATATATATATATATATATATATATACATATATATATATACATATATATATATATATATATATATATATATATATATATATATATATATATATATATATATATATATATATATATATATATATATATATTATATATATATTTAAAATAAAAAACAAAAGTTTTTTTGCACAAATCTTATTGCAAAAAAACTTTTGTTTATTAAAAATAAAAAACAAAAGTTTTTTTGCAATAAGATTTGTGCAAAAAAATAATATGAGCATGAAATTAATATTACTTTAAAATTTTTTATACAATTTTATTTGAATAACAGGTTAACTAAAATTTCATATGATTAACAGGTTAACTTATTTTCAAATAATTTTTTTAAATAATGTTATGGGCTTGTTAAATAGAAAAAAGATTTATTCAAATAAATAGGTTTAAATTAATCACAAAAGATGACACAACACATGAAAAAGACTAATTTTTAATCTTTTATCCAAAGGGGGTTCAAGATACTCTAATATTAGCTTCTGCTTCTTATATTAGCTTCTGCTAAGGTTGCATTTCTTTATTGTGCTCAATACTTTCTTACTCCGTATTCTATTCTTTATCTCTATAAATCTCACATTTTTTCTTGTATGGAATACTGTTGCCATATCTTGGGCAGATCTTCCAATGATGCCCTTTATTTTTTAGACAAAGTGCAAAACATAGTTTAGTACATAGTGCATTGTAAACATAGTTACATAATGCATTGTAAACATAGTTTAACCTGCTCTTGTAGACAACCTTTATCACATCATTGTAATGTTGCTTCTCTTTCTTTTTTCTACAAATACTATAATGGGCGCTGCTCTAAAGAGCTAGTGTCTCTTGCTCTATCTACTAAAATTCATTCTTGTGTTAATTTTCATTCAATTAAGTCTCATCCTTTTTCTGTGACTGTTCCTAAGTACTCCAAAAACTCTTAGCTAGTATTTGTCTAGTTTTTTTTTATTGAACATCATTTCTTTGGAATTCGCTTTCTTCATCTTGCTTTCTTGATTCATATAATTTGCAATCTTTTAAGTTGTATATCAATTGTTATCTTGCTCTATAAACTTCGTCTTTTCTCTTCCAGTAACTTCCAACTCTATTGTACTATATATGTACTACCAGGAATATTGTGGTGATTGAAATATACATGATATATGTATTTATGTATATATATATGTATATATATGTATAAATAATATATATATATATATATATATATATATATATATATATATATATATATATATATATATATATATATATATATATATATATATATATATATTGTTTACAAGTTTAAGTCTCAATAAATTTATTGTAGAGGCAGTTTTTATACAACTAAACGATGTACTAACATACTAACAGGAGAAGAGTATGCTGTAAAGATTGTTGATTTAAAACCTTCAATTTGCACAATATTAGAAGGTAAAATTGCATTTTTAATTAAAAAATAAATTCAGTCGATTAAAATTCATTTCGTAAATTTAATTTGGCAATAGTTTTATTTAAAAATTTTTTGGTTCAAAATGAAATGTTTTATATAAATTATTTTACATCACTTTTTTTATAAGGTTAAAATATAGAAATATATTAAAACTAGCATCCAATATCACATATAACAATTATTTTATCTGCTGTTTTTATCAGATTTCCTCTTAAACCACTTTTATTAGTTAGGCAAAAGCTTAAACATTTAGGTTTTTCAATAACTCAAGCAGGTAAAAAACTTTTCACTTTGCTTTGCAAAAAATAAATATTTTAGCTTGTTGATTTTTTTTTCTAGTACTAATCTGCGCTTATTTTTAAAAGTTTTTATTCAAAATTCTTTATTAGGTGTTTTTGTGACCATTTCATTCCGAGGGTCATTTAAAGAACAAAAATAATTATTAAAAAACCATGGTATTGCAAAAACCTTTCTTCTCAAGTTGCAAAATGACATGCCCATTTAAATCATTTTTAATGTTTTAAATCAGTAATTGTAAGAAAGTTGAATCCTTCTTTTTTTGTCACTTTTTATTTATTATTATTTTTATTCATTTTTTAACTTGTCAAACTTTAAATAAATTTTTCAAAAACAAATTTTGTGCATGCAACAATTTTAAGAGGAACAAAACAATCTGATTAGACTAATATTATTTTCCAACTTTTAAATCTCACCCATTTTTTAGTAATTCATCAGTTGAGAAAAGGTTGTATTTTTGGTTGCAAAATATCTTTCTTTGTTGTAGTTTATTAATATCTAATAATACTTTTTCATAAATCAGTATGTAACCAATATTTTAAAAGTATCTGTAAAACATTGGTTATATACTGATAAAGCATGTTGGCATGACGACAAATTGCTTCTAAATTTGTTTTTTTAATGTTTGGATAAGGTTTTCTTTCAAATGTCAATTTTTGAGCCTTTTTATATTAAAGTTGCTGCACCTATTTTCGAAAGTTTTTAAGGTCATTATTTTGTTGCTCTCCTCTGAGCTTTTTATCTGTTTATATTTTGTTTATATTCTGTGTTTATATTCTTTTTTAAAGGAAGGTTTTATGCTGCAAATTTGAGATTGATCTGATGTAGTTTTTGTAGAGGTTGCTTTAAAATTGAAATATTTTCTATGAATCTGGGCATTCTGTTTGTTTTGTGAATGAGTTGGACTATTTGTGAGTTTGATTTTAGGTTACTTTCTAATTTGACACCTAAATCTCTGTCTGTGTTGAAATCTCTCTTTATGTTGAAATCTCTCTCAGTGTTGAAAACTTTTACTGTGTTGAAATCTCTCTCTGATTTTGTATTGAATAGGTTTGAATACTTTTTTTTGTCTATGTCAATCATGGTGTATGTAAAGGTGTATGTAGGGTTATTGTAATTTTGAAGAGTTTAATCTTATGTTTTTACCTTGATGTCATCAAGTTATTATTGTTTTAATGTTGTTTTGAAGTTTTTTTTGTTGTTGCTTAAGACTGGTTTTAAAATTTTTTGTTGTTGTTGCTTAAGACTGGTTTTGAATGGATTTCGGTGTTTGAGTAAAGTTTTACGTAAATAGAGTTTATGTTTCACTTTGATGTCCAAGTCATTATTGTTTCAATATTGTATTTTTTATTGTCTTGTATTTTTTTGGTTGTTGTTGATGCTTAAAACTGATTCTGAATGGATTTTGGAGTTAAAGTAAAGTTTTGTGTCATAAGCCTCAATCAATGCTCTGTAAAGTTTAGAAGAGTTTGTTTTAACTGCAGTGTAATCCTTATGTTATTTTTAATATAATCTTCACAGTTTTATTTTGAATTTCAGCTATAAAATATTTCAGCAACAGTATATATATAACAATAATCTACCAATGTATCAATCCATAGGTATTTAAATAAAGTTCTGAAATATGTGATACTAATCTATAATTTGTACAATAAACTTATTTTTTAATAGTTTTATTTGTCAAAGAGAAAACTCTTTTAAATCTTTTTAATCTAAATTAATTTTTTTATTTTTATTTTGGAAAGTTTAGAAAGATTTTTTATTTTGGAAAGTTAAGAACAATTTTATATTTTAAAAGTTAAAAAAAATTTTTTATTTTGAAAAGTTTAGAAAGATTTTTTATTTTAGATACTAAGAGAGATTTTTTTATTTTAGATATTAAGAAAGAAATATTCATATGCAAGCAATTATGTCACCCAAATATTGGTGCATGGTTTTTTATTTCGCTTCAGGGGTACCCTGAAGATAAC